CTTGGGTGGCCCTGCACAGTATAGCTCATGGCTTCACTGAGTTACGCAAGCCCCTTCGCCAGGACATGGCAGTGAACTATGAAGGGGATGCAAATTATATTAATTAACAAAGTCAGATAAATTAACTTCTGCCTTTTACTTGAAATCATACTTAAGAATGAGCGAATGCCATAAAGAAGTCTTTATGTTAATATGAACAAAAGCTTACAATTATACAGACTTTTGAAATCTTGTTAGATATCAGCATTACAAGTAAGTAAGGTATATCAATTTCTAAACATAAAGGAATCAGAATACATGTAATAAAAATATAATTTATCCCATAGAAAATGTATTCCTTTCTTATAGAGTAGAAAACTTGAAACTTGATGCTCACAGAGACTTTACTGCCCAGATACTGTCTCTACAAAGTCTAACAGAGTGTAATTAGCCAAGCTGAATTGTGCACATTTCCAAATGATAATTTCCAACATGTATACAAAACTAATGCAGTCCATAGTGACTTGGTTCATGCATTGTGCTAACTCATGGTTTGTTAAATTGCTGATACTCTGATTTAAAAGTTTCAGTAGTGAAGTTCATTTAACCTGCAAAATGAAATACCCCACCCATTATGGCCTAATATGTTTTGTGAAATGAGCCTGGGTTACTAAACCTTGTTTCCTAGTGAGAATTTTGAACACTAGAGCTTATGTTTTCAGTTTCAGAGTTACCAAAATTCTGTTATAGCTGAACATGATACTTTAGCTGATTCAGGCTCTAGATATTTTTTAAAAAATAACTGAATCAGAGAAGCTTACTTTAATTGGTTTATTCACTAAAGGTTAAACTATAATCATATAACCTGGAATTCCAGTTAGTTTTAGCTTTCCATGTATTGCAGCTAAGCCAGTGCAGTACAGTGTTTGGGTGAATTTCATGGCAGAAGTAACAATATACACAGTTTAGGGACTTTATTGTTTCGGGGGGGAAGAGAACATAGTGTTCTAATCACTTTATACACCTTAGAGAAGATGATACTATATATGAGATCTGCTCATATACAGTCTTAAAAAAATAGGGAGAATTATATACAAAATAACTTTGTGGTAGAGTTGAGTTTGGCATTTCTCTTTTTTAGCATCACCTCTTTGATTAATAATACGAAAGACAAATGGCTTGAAAAGGTGTCTGTAAAATGTAACCAAGGTAAGGTACTGCTCTTTGTAAGAATATTGGTTTAATAAAAATATTCAAGTGATGTAGAAATCTGCCGTTCTTCTGAAGGAAATTGTGTGCCAAGTTTTGTCTAATGAAATTGTAAAAGCTGGGCGCCTAGAAAAAAATACAATGAAAGATACTTGTAAAATAAGAAAATTCTTTTAGTTTCAAGAAATTGTTTCATTTTCTCTTAAAACAATAATGTTAATAGTAACCACTGTTGAAGCAGCTAATGTGGCCCCATCAAACATTATATAGTTACAATATGAAAAATTAAGTAATTTGAAGTACTTTTCTCCCTGGGTCAGTTTCCCATTTTGAAGGGCATTAGAATGACATGAGTTAGGATAGTGCATATTTCCAAAGCAAAATCATGTGTCAATCTATTTCATAATAGTGTGACACATGATTTTGCTTTGGAAATATGCACTATCCTAACTCAAATAAATAGACTTATAATTATAATACATGCAGTCTGTGCTTCTCTTGTTCTCTACAGGGTAACCATAGTGCATTTCCTGCTTGGGTAGGATTATTTTTTAAAAAAAATTTATAGGTGTGGCGATCTGCAAGAATCTTCTTGTTGACTTTTATGACTGATCAGTAAACATGCAGCAAGAATTCATCAGGAAGTTCATTTGACACTTCCTTTCTGTGGACTCTTCTAATCACACCCTGCTCTGTTGAAGAGTTACTGTGCTCGGACTTGGCATTTCTCTTTTATAATTATACTGCTTTTAAAATGTCACTGAAAGTTTGGATTTTTGTAATCTCTCTTTTTTCAAACTCCACTAATCTTGAGTACTTCTGAACTCTTATTTTGACAATCTCAAAACCTTTTGAGAACTTTGGACCAGGAAGTTATCTAAAGATTTTGGATTTTCCAGTGGAATGGTAAATATAAAACACTTCAGTGTTGAGATGAGACTTCATAAGATTTAATCTTTTTTCTTATATTGTGTTTCCTATTAATACCTTTATTAGTTGAACATTCTTTAATTTATTACAGTGTTCCTTTATTGTATTTTTATTTTGGTATAGTATATCATTTCACTGTATAGAATTTCACTATTTTTTCTTTAACTTTCCACTGTTTTGTGTCATTTCAATCAATTTTAAATTGATTTTCTTAGTATAGTTCTGGTTTAATGGTCATCCTATATATGCTTATGGGAACTAATTAAGGCAAAGGAAAAAAAACTTGTTTGTAAGTTTGTATATTTTGAAAGAAACTGCATGTGTTAACAAAATCATATGGATAAAAAGTTCAAGGTATACAATTTTCAGAATGTTGTGAAGTTTAAGCTTGTGGATCATCTATTTGACATTATTTGGGTATTAATTAGTTTGGAAATTAAATAGGTTGTACATTTATATGTTACGCACAAATGTAAAAAAATGGAATATTAGGCATATTTAAAAATGAGGTGGATACAAATAAATACATTACAACTGTTTTAGATTACCCAACTTGCTTGATGAATTGCAATAGATCAAATATTTCTGAAAGCCATCTTGAATGTAAATACTAACGGGACCAAATCAGCATTAACTGAATCAGCCCACAACCAAGATTTTCTGTGTGTATTCACTGACAGAGATTAGTAACTGACATACAAGGAGGACTTCTGACACAGTTAACATGTAGACCTGATCCTATGGGTGAAGATAATCATATGGATGACAAAGGTGTATAAAGTTTCTGAATAAAATTTAAAAGAAATCTAAAATTTCTTGAACTGTAAAATTCAGATATTCAGACAGTGCTGTGTTGAGAGATATTTTAATGTGCTCTTTCTGTATTTGCAGTTTTAAATAAGCGGGACTAACCCTGCCACTGGTTGGGACAATTCCTTTATGAATAAATATGCACTGGTGCAGTGGATTATCTTGCCCGTATGAAGCAAATTAATGCATTTTACAGGAAAATTCATGTTTAATTGAAATGGATGTGCCCATAGGCCTATCTTTATATGGAACTATGCCTTCCGCTGAAATTAATGGGAAAATCTTTCTAAATAAGGTATACGTTATGTACCACACTATGTATTTGATTGCTATGATGTACTGTGTTATAACAGCATATACTTCTTTTAGGTTCCAGTTTGGCGTCATCTTGCTTCCAATATCAGCAGCAGCTTTGTTCCTTCATCAATGTAACAGTTTGGAAAGCTTTAGCAGCTGACGAAATGATTGAGAGTCGTGGAAAATATGATTTCTACATTGGTCTTGTCTTGGCCATGAGCTCCAGTCTTTTTATTGGAGGGAGTTTCATCCTGAAGAAAAAAGGTCTCCTTCGATTGGCCCGAAAAGGCTCTATGAGAGCAGGTAAAATTTTGAGGTCTTGAGGGTTAAGCAAGTGTTTGATTAAATGTGCATCCTTACAGGCTATGTAAGATTCCTTTTCTCAGTGTTACATAAAATCAGCTTTTAAATAGGTATTTGATTTCATGCAGAATTCAGCATATGGGACGAAATTCTGAGTACTTATTTTAATTCTTTAAAGCTAGCTTTCAGTTGTATTTTCAGCTTCCTCTAGAATCATAAAATATGGTTTTGGTTTACATGATGCAAGGAAAGTTCCTGTTTCTCCATAGATGCCTTAATTATGAATGTGTGGGTCACCTTTAATATTGTATAGATGATTGAGGGCTTAAGGGAGTAGGGTAATAAGACAGAGTTGGGGCTAAACTTTTCTAATTTTTTATTTTATTTTGTTTTGAGGTTTTGAGGGGAGTTTAGGATTCCCCCCCCCTTAAACTGTCTGTTTCAGAGTGTGTGTTGTACTTTTAGTGTGTTTCCCACATCAGAATTGCAGGAAGCTGTGCAGTAGATTTGGGGCAAATACAGCTACAGCTGGCTTCCTGGGATGCCCAAGGGCCGAAGGCCTCAGGTTGCCAGCTCGTATCCTAAATTGCGAATGAAAGGACTCTCTACATCCTTGCTGATATGGTGGTTATTTTCCCTCTAAAATGCATAAAGAGACATCTATTTTTTCTCACATGCCCACAGGCTATTAGACTCTCAATCATGCCTTGTCAATTAGACTTAACAGCCACTTCTGCTTTGTAACAACAGTATGATCTTCAGTATTAAATGTGGCCATTAACTTGTCCAAGAATTTTTAATGACTAGCTTGAAATTTTTAAAAGAACTTGTGCATGTAATATTGAAGTATAGTATTCTGTAATAGATCATAACAACATCCTTTTCTTTTTTTAAAAAAAATAGGACAAGGTGGCCATGCGTACCTTAAAGAGTGGCTATGGTGGGCTGGACTTTTGTCAAGTAAGTAACCGGAAAAACTAGAAACTGGCTGTTAGCCTAACCCCTTAGCAGGAGAGAATAGTTCATACATTATACTAAGCCTGGTGTAGTGGCTAAGATGCTGGCCCAGAAACCAAGAGACTGTGAGTTCCAAGCCTCCCTTAGGCAGGAAAGGCAGCTGGGTGACTTTGGGCTAGTTGCTCTCTCTCAACCTAACCCACCTCACAGGGTTGTTGTTGTGGGGAAAATAGGAGACAGAAGTATTAGGCTTGTTTGCCGCCTTGTACAACATATATACATATATACCGTATTTTTCCCCTTCATGGATAGTCACTGCCTTGTCGTGGCGAAGGGGCTTGCGTAACTCAGTGAAGCCATGAGCTATACCGT